ACTTCTATATTCAAGTTTGCAAAAGTTACACTTCCAACTCACATTCCCTCCTCCTTCATTTCCATCCTCAACTTTAGTAACATAATCATGTAAAAAAGAAAAATTAAAAACAGAATATACAATATACAAATATACAGAATAGACAAAATATAACAATATAAATTTATGTAAATAGAATATACAAATATAATATAAAAATATAAACAAAAGAAAAATAATTATATACAAATATAATCGTATAAAAAACAGAATATACAAATATAAAAAAATAATTATATACAAATATATATACAATTGAAATAAAAGAACGACGATGGTCGATGGATATTAATTAATATATATAAAAAATAAACCAATTATTATATCATCCTCAGCCAATATAATAAAAATATATATACAATACAAATAAAAGAATGACGATGTCAAACAGCTTTCACCGACAAAAAAATATCTATCCTTCATTCACTTACCTTCCATGCGTGAGAGGATCCTTTTTTGAGCAGAGACGATGGAAGAAGAACGACGATGGATGGAGGTCTCACAACGAACAGCTACCACCCACCGATAGCCAAGGAGGAAGAAAGATCGAGGAGAAACAGCTACCAACGAAACCATGGAGGAGCCGAGCAGAAATAGCGACGGCCGACGGCGGAGGAGGAACGGCGACGACAAACCAACGACGGAGGAGGAAGAATGACGTTGTGGCATCTTGCGTGTAGGTCAGGATGTGTTGATTTGGATTCTGAGATTTAATACGATTTGGGTTCTTTTTATCCCAAAAAAAACACCGCTTTATTTTTTAAAACAATTACTGAAATTCCATTCATCCATTAGATACGTAAAAATGGAGTATCGTAACGTATCCGTATCGGACGTGTGTCCGATACGTAGAAATTTTTCAAAAATGCGTATCCGTGCTTCATAGCTAGCCGTTACACAGAGTTCGCTAATGTGGGCAGCAACCTTCCTTCCATGCAAGCCACTTGGCCTGACAGGTGAGACATTAATTGTTACAAAGATCGGAGGTGGCAGTAACAAACTACGTGTCCACCAGAAACATAACATATCATCATACAGAGTTCACTATTTTACTGGACGAACTTGCCCTCGTAACAGTTAATTATATTTTAATGTTGGCTGTCATTTAGGAAAATAACTTCTGGTCACTGTTCCGATTGTTTACGCGTTCATCTATAATCATGAAGCTCCCAGGTTCGGGTCCCACCTCATATCAATAATCAATGTGGCTGTTTCCCCGCTGACCCGCAATCGATCTCTTACGTGGATGGGTAAGTATTGGCCGAAGTTTGTGGACGAAAATCCAAGGCGTAAATGGAGGCTTAATGATGAATCTTGTTCAACACCGAAAAGTTCAACAACATTGATCCGTTTCTGGAATTAATTTTAAATAATGGGTGTTGGTGAATGTTTTCAAAGAAATAAGGAAAATTTAAAGCGTGGCTTTTCTGTTCCTTCCTTCTTTTTTAATTGTTTCTGCATAAAGAATTGAAAACAGCTGTAAAATAAATTGCACCAATCAGCAATGCAATTTTACACGAATGGTTTGAGTGCCTAAAATTTATTTTCCTTTTGTTTGATAGTTTAGTAATATGTCATCTCATATTATTATATTAAGTATGGTTTCTATTGCAAATTTTATGTCATGTGTTATCATTTTAATCTTTTTTAAAAATAAGTTTATGTGATAAAATGCTTCTTTCATGTTTATTCAACATTTGACTGTCAAAAAATAATTCAATTAAAATTGTTCTTTTCAATTTATTGACTAATTAATTACATATAATAATGTTTGGTTTGGTTTGATTTGACCAATAGCTTATTGATTGCTTGATTTATGATTTAATCTTTCTTTATTTTAAAGTTTCTCCTTTTCACTATTTTTGTTTCTTTTTTTTCCAGATAAGCTCCTACCTTTTTATCATCTTCAAGTGGCTTTTTTATTTAATTATATAAATTTATAAAATTCAAGTTATAAATACTTATTCTTTTATGTTGAGTGATTTGGCTATCGTTTCACCTTTTTGTGAATTCAATCAATTTATCTTTCATTATTTTACAGTTTCACATTTTATTTGTTTAGTTTTTTTTTTTTTTGACGAGAGCTTCTTTTTTAGTCTGTTCTCTTTGAAAAATTATTTTTCTTATTTTTTAAATATATTATTGTTATTCTAATTTGAATCTCGGTTTAAAAAACATTTTTGTTGTGTGTTTACTTTTTTTCCTAACTTTCTTGCTCGCGATATTCGATCAAATTATCTTTCTAAAAACAAATTAACTTAAAGAAGGAAATACCTATAGTTAAGTTTACTTACGGGTAGTTTAAGGAAGGAAATACCTATATATTATTGCTTTCTTTTTCTTTAAATCTTTTTGAAATATTTTTCATCTTGTTCTCGTTAGTTTGGATTTTTTTTTTTTTTTTTTTTTTTGGAAATCGTTAGTTTGGATATTTAATCTACTCAATTCATTACTTGTCGATAGAGAAATCATGTTAGTGTGCGAAAGATATAGAAAATCAATTAAAATAATATAATTTTAAATTGTGAGAGGTTATATTTACCATATCTTTTGCTTTGTAGCCTTTTACAAATATTTTTGTTTTTGTTCGATAAAAATCAAATTAATTACTTTCACATTTTTGTAATTATTGTTTTATTTTAGTCAAATTACAATAAAAATTATGCGAAGAGATTGTAAGACAAAAGAGGTTATAGGTATGATCTCTTTCTTTTAAATTATTGTTAAGGTTTTATTAGTCTCTTTTTACATGATATAATTATTTTATGTTGTAGAGATAATATGGGTAGGTCCCATCATTATAAGAAAAAAAAAGGGTGAGGTGCGAAAATCGAAATGAGAGAACACGAGAGAAGTTATCTCATGTGAAAATAGAGTAATATTTCCCTTATTGTTAATGTATTTAAAAATATAAAACATGCTTTATAAATTATAAATCATTATTTTGATTGAATATGAAAAAATAATTCTAAAGTTAAATTAACATTTTTACCTTTTTAATGATTTTAAGCTAAAAGGTAGAGTAGTTACTAGTACGAGTATAAATGGGCTAGGCCGGCCTACGGCCTAGCCTATAGTAGGTCAGACTTGGCCTATTACAAATAGTAAAATAGAACAGATCTAGGCTTTTAATAAGTAGAAAATAGGCCATAGACTTTTTTGTACGTATCGAGCCTATAAGGCTTCAAGCCAGCTTATATCATATTATTTATTTTAAATAAAACTATTATTTTAATAATTTTGAATAATAAAGTAATATTATTTTAGTTATTCTTTTAATTGTTGAATATGTAATAGGCTTAAACAGTCTAACAAGCCTAAGCCAAAGTTTTTTATTTTTTAAAAATAGGTTATGCCATACTTATAATTTTGAGGCCTACACAGGCTAACAGGGCAGGTCAGACCTAATATTTTTTTTACACAAATCTGACTTATTTAAGCTAAAACCTAACCTAACTTATTTACATTTCTAGTTACTAGCTGCCTATAAAAAATTTATGACCAGTTAATAGAGAATAAAAGAAAGTTAGTCCCCTAATTTAATTGTTTATTTTATAATATTATTTGATTGTTTATGTGTAATTTATAAATTTTACGTAATTTAATTTAAGTCATGTATAAAAAATAATTTGATTTAAATCAGTTTAGATTAAATAAATTTTCTAATTTTTTATATAATATTATTTCTGTTAGAATACATAAGTATCAATTTACTGTGTAATTTATTTAAATTATTTAATAAATACATCAAATACAAATCTGATGATCAAATATAATTGTTAATCAAATGGTATATGTTCAAATTAAAAGACAAAAAATAAAATTATCTTAAAATATTTTTTTTTTAAAAATCAAAATGAACAATATAAAGACTTTTTAAATGAAATTTTAAAAATAATGTATAAAATTTTGGCATGGTTCTTATTTATCAGTTTTCAAATTCGAATTTGAAAATCATAGTATTTAAATGTTTTTATTTTAATTGTATTTGTTGATTTTTGAATATCTCGGTGTAAGAATAACAAGTGATATTAAATTTAAATATTAATTTTTTATTTAACAGTTGTAATTTTTTAGAAATAATAATTAATTAATAAATAGGCCCAATAAATTATAATCATAAATTATATAAAAATAAATAAGTAGAATTCTACATTAAACTTATTATTCTGCTTACACCAATATAAGTTGATTGTGATCTTATTATAAAAATAAATAATGACTAAGTACGTTACAGCTAAACTTAAAAAAAACGGAAATATGTAAAAAAAAAAAAAAAAAATTGGAATTGGATGATAGCAACATCTGGAATTCATTGATTCAACTGACTCACATTGATTGCCGCGCTCACCACAGAAAGCGACTTTCCGTTTCCGGTGTTGGAGATATCAATTACATGGATTACGGAGACTTCGACCTTATCCAAACACCTTTCATACTTCACATTCCACGTATTCGCCCTTGAAATTTAATGTCTTTTTTTAATATAATTTAAATTTATAATCTCATATAAATTACTAGTCCTCTTCACCATTAACTCACATCTAATAACGTAATTTAAGTTATTTTCTCGTAGTAATAATAATAATAATAATAATTTCTATAATTCATTAGTATTATGTTTTCATTTCTAATAATAAACCATGAAAAGACGCACCATTTAATTAGCTAGGTAGAGAAGGGTGGAGCTAAGGTTGGGGGACAAGAAATGTCAAATCCGATAAACCCGAATCTTACTATTTCTATCTAAAGAAGTTTATGATAAAAATATTAGAATAAGAATAAAAGACAAACATTAATCTTATCCAATTTCGTATAGCTTTGCTTGTGATTTGTAAACCGTTTCGGTCTTCTATAAGGAAACACGTGGACTCGTGATTCCATTTAAAGCAAAGATTTGGAACGGATAAAAGTGGGCATGCGTTCGCACTCATTGAATGCTAGCCTAGCCAGATATAAATCGTTGCTCGTGGTTGATTGGTTGGGAAGAAAAAAAAAGTTCCGAGGCATTGAAAAACAAGGTTTAGCCGTTTAGAGATGGAGCATATGGAAAACAAGGTGGTTTATCATACGATTGTCGATGCTGATAATAAAGGAACAGTTGATGATGAGTGTGATCTTGTTGGTTCTTTTTCTTCTTCCGAGTCTGATTCAATTGAAGAAGTAGCATCCCCTTCTTCTTCTTCTTCTTCAGATCAGCTTGCGGCTGACCCTTTGAGTGATATGTCTTCTTTGTTTCAACAACTTCCCATTAAGTAAGCTTCTTTTTCTCAACCTCTCATGATTTCTGTTATGAAATTTGTGTTTCTGCATGCTTCTAAAATTCCTCTCAAGTTTGGAAATTTGATATTAATGATTAGTAGGAGAGGGCTTTCCAAGTATTACCAGGGGAAGGCACAGTCATTCACTTCATTAGCAAAAGTGAGGAGCTTGGAGGATCTTGCTAAACCAGAGAATCCATACAACAAGAGGTTAAAGTCTTGTAGAAGCTACGGAGGGGGAATGGGTGAGACACAAAGAGTAAAGTGCAGTACTCCTAGCTAGACTGCTATCTCTGGGCATGTTTCTTAAAGAGGATTGATCAGGTGATGATACTTCATGGGTACCAGGCCTCCAATCCCACCTCGCTCTTAGATCTACCAGTACAAGCGCCATTCCTAATCAAACTGCTTTGTTTGTATCAAAGCTAGGGATGAAAAATTTACACTTTTTTTTTTTATTTCTTTGTAAATTAATAATTGAGAGTTATTTGCTGTTGGTAATTTGTAACCATAGTCTTTCTTAAAAAATCATTGGAATCATGTGATGTTACTCTGATTAGTTAGGAAAACTATTGTAGAAACAAAAAAATCGACATTAGAGCATGGGAATACACCCAATCTCTCTCCTTTCCTCCGTTTCTTATAGTTTTTTTTTTTTTTTTTTTTTGTGGTTTACACTTTTATTTTTTAATTTATATATATATATATATATGGGAAAAAAGTTTCCGATGTTACTTTGATGTTACTTTAGATAACTTTATCTAATGTTCGTCGAAACGACGTCGTTTTGGGATTGAAAAAAAAATTAGAGTGATAAAGACTATTATAACCCTGAAATAAATTAAAATTACAAAAATACCATGATTTATGTCCCAAAACGACGTCGTTTTGATGAACATTAGATAAAGTTATCTAAAGTAACATCAGAAAAAACAAACCCTATATATATATATAAAATTTGTTCCAAGTGTTTTTTCCTACTTCTATCACAATTCTTCATATGATCTGCTCGGTAATTCATCCCTGAGGTTAGTATAGATATGTTTAGAACTTCTAGAATTCGAACAACGAACGACACGAATTGAATACAATGGGAAAATAATTGACATCAAGGAATTGTTTGAAGTTTTCAATTTGTTTATTTAGATAGAATACTATTGATTGTAAATATTGTACCCAGAAAAAAAATTCAGTGTAAATATATTTTAAATTTTTATTCCATTTTGTTAATTTATATATGTACATTAAATAATAAACAGCATGTGAAAAAATGAATGTTTTAAAACTTAAGATTAATAAAATTATTAGATTAAAAGAAAAACTTAGACATGGTGGCATGGTAAGCGAATCGTGCAGAATAATAAAAGTTTAAATCTTCAAATAGAAAAATTGTTAAAAGACCTCTTAAGTCTTAATTAATATTGAATTATAACTTTACTTTTAAATTAGTCTAACAATAATACTGGTGAGGTATATTGCAAGGTGTTTTTGTAATTTTAATATATTGCAAGTTATATTAGTCTTTATCATTATAATTTTTTAAAATATTGTTAAATATACTTTAAATGCAATTTCAAAGTCAATTCTCCTAAAATTAGGTTTATAATTCTAAAGTATAGATAAAGCATCTTTGATTTTGTTATGTAAATCCTCTAAGGGGGCGTTTGGTTGAGGTGAAATTTTTTGAATATTAGGGAAATAGAATTGATAGAGAAATGATAAGAAAGTGAGATAAAGTCAGATAAATAGAAAAATGTTAAAAAAAATAGTTTGGTGGAGAAAAACTTTACTGAGAAAATTAGGTAACTTTTAGGAAATGTATGTTTGGTTGGAAGTAATATATAATGAAAAATTTGAGTGAACAGTGAGATTACCTAGTTTTTTAACAAAAACCCACCTCCCAAAACGCTTTCTCAACAGTAAATAAACCTATCATTCCATTCCAAAATCTAAAAACCCATACAAATTGGATGGATAACTTTCTCATTAAATCACCCTAAACCAAACATCTCATTTCAAGAATCCTTCTTACATTTGCATAGATTTCTTTTAAAAAGCGGCGAGCCAAACACCTCCTAAAGTTAAAAAGTAATCCTATTTATAGAAACAGCAAACATCAATCATGTGTTACGGACTTTTGTGGTATGGTATTTTATGTGATTTATTCTGTTTTGGTTGGCTATTATATAAGCTCAACACGTCAGATCCAATAATATAGCTCACTTTTAGAATCTTTTAGAAAGGCACTTCATGCCCCTACACTAGTTGCAGATGGACAACTCTAGTGGTCTCTCTTCTCTACATATACCCTCTTCCTCGGCTGAAGAAAGGGTCTTTTGGATCTCCTTATGATTCATTTTATGAGTTGTGACACCAAAGCCATGGACACACTCCCCTTTGATATGCAACACCATAAAAAGCTTCACTAGTATTTTGATCTCTACTATTGTCACCGTGAACGCCTCTATATAAACATATTATACCTTTTATGTGATACATCTATAAACACACTGCGATTTATTGGCGCCCTCTATGGAAACTATAAATTCTTATTCCCACTCCATCATGAAAAAAACTTTCCTCCCAGTTCCAACATTTTAAAGGTAGATTCTTCATTTTGTCTGCATATACTTTCTCAACTTTACAAAAAGCTTAGTTACTACTCTCCCCTAAAGGGTCCAAAACCCAGATCTATAAAAGAAAAAGAAACACCAGACTCACGAAGACAAGAAACAGAGCTGAAGAGATGCAACCAACACTACCACTATACTGGAGCTCCAGAGCTAAAAAACAGAGTTCCAGAGCAAAAACCAGAAAGTCATCATTCTAGGAAATAAGAATAAAAACCAGAAAATTCCAAGAAATAAAGGTTCCAAAAAATCAGAATGAAATAGACCACATTGATAGAATAAAAAGCTGATCTAGAGGCGTTCATCAACCATCGACATGGTTAGCTTTAGAGCCAAAAGCACCATAGTAACAACATTTACACAAAATGGGTTCCACACTTCAATTAACTTTCTTAAATCATCCCATTTAATCCACAAATTCATAGCCTACGTACTAATCATATTTTCGAGCTTTATCGGTACTATTATAACACAGTATTTTACACCGATAAAATCACTATTCATCAAATTTTCCGAAACTTGTCTATCCACTCGATTTTTCGTTTTAAATCCATTTCCGATATTATTTTTACCATTTGAGACATTATACTCGATTTTTCTTGTCTCGGGTTACGTGTTTGGTAAATTACCATTTTACCCTTTTTACGTATTTCAGCCATAATTTCAGGATTTTCACTGATCCTACTCCTTTAATCCTCATTTTCACATATAATTATACAGTTAGAAACACGAGGTGTTATAATCATCATCTTCTGTCAAGTCTGGTTAACAACATTTCTGATCTGGTGAGCAATGGCAATAGCCACTTCATTGTTACTCATGTGTACAGGGAAGCCAATAGCTTTGCAGATTGGCTAGCTACCCATGTTATGGAAGGAAGTTGGGAGACCCAGTTTTTTGATATGCCTCCGTTCGAATGCAGCAGCCTTGACGCCTCTAGTGGCGTCAAGATTCATGCGCCTCTTATGTCGTCTCATCATGCTACGACACTGACCTGGGTAGCTTACGTGGAGATTGGTAACCTCAAGATTAGTGACGACACTGATAATGTCTAGTCCTGCTACGACATTGTAGTGAAACATTTCAAAAATACTTTAGCTGGGTATAACTTTGTGTAAATGTTATTACTCTTACTCTTGCGCTTTTGCCTAGCTTTAGATGCATCGAAGGTTTTACTATATTATCACAATTACCTCCTCTCTTTTTTTAGAATAACTCTTGAACCATCTAGTAAAGGACTACCCCATTATCTTGATGGGCAATATTTTTCTCAAGTCACTCGAGATAGAAAATATTCATACACAATCAATCAAAAGGTGGGACCCATTATAAGAGAGGGAAAAAAAATCAGATTAACTTTATTATGGATGTGAGTATGAAAGAGAATTTCATTTTCCTACCTTAATACCTAGTATTCCTCATTTATAATATGGTGGATTTCGTTAAATGCTGATAAGTATCTGTCAATTAAAACGTTGACTCTGACTTTTTTGTTGTTGTCATGAGCATGCTAGGACTTCAAATTAGGTAGGATACATTGCTATATGACTTTCAAATTCCAATTTTTGGTCATGTGTTTCACAAAGTGAAATAAACAATGTTGGAATCTGGCACCGACAAAAAGTAAACAAAGATAGAATGGAAAAAAAAGAAAAGCGCGTTTACACGCAAGCAACCACCGCAAGCGAAAGCAATAAAATTGAGAGGGACGCTAAGTTGTGGCTTCATTCTTTTTCTTTCGTCTTCATCTTTTTTTAATTTCAATTTCTTGTTCTAGAAGCTTCTCTCCTTTCCGTTCTTCGCTTCTGATCGGTCTAATTCACTTGCATGGCTACGATCGGACAGAACAATCTCAATGCCAAATTGGTCTCTCTCTCTCTCTCTCTCTCTCTCTCTCTCTCGATCCCTTTCATTTTCGTCCGTGTCGATTTCGGTTCATAATAACCTCAATTTATTTGTCTTTTTTTGCTGAATTGAATTTCAGGTTCTCCTCGGGGACATGGGTGCGGGAAAATCCAGCCTTGTTTTGCGTTTTGTCAAGGGTCAATTCCTTGAATTCCAGGTTATTTCCCCCCCTTCGCCTTTTTGATTTCTCTGTTTGATTGGGGGCTTGTGAAATTCGAAAGTTTACTTAGAATTTTCCTATGTTTTTTAGGTTAACGAAAATATTCGGGGAATCACACATAGTTCATTGGGGCAAGTGTTCTGTTAAGGGTTAGTTAGAATGGTTAGGTAATGGTTTACATGTTCTTACAAAAGAGGGTAGGAAGTTGCAACTGATATAATAGTACACTGTATAGGTGATAGTTATAAATAGATATGTTGTAATCTGAAATGGGTATCAGAAGCATAATAAAGAATAGTTTTTGGTATCTTCCTATCAGTTCTCTGTTTCTCTGCTTGTTGAGGAGCTACACCTCTAACATGTTCTCCCGTTTCAAATTTCGAATAACATGTTTCTAAAACTTATGAATATGATGGAGAATATAAGAGAAGTTCCAGCTGATAACAGAAAGTCAAGCCCAGTTTGACAAAAATTTCCACTTTGAACAACATAGGATGATATTGTTACAGTTTTGGAGCTTAAAATGGGAAAATTCTTAAGTATTTTTAGTGTAATGCTCTTAACTGTTCGAATTTGATTTAAATTTTATTATATAATATATTAAATTTAATCTATCAGCATGTATGGTTATACTGTTCCCATGTTATGTTTTTAATGGACCGAATATATTACTCTTGTAATGCATGAGAATTTTTTTCATCCAAAATTAAAATTGGGAGTTGTCCATTAAATATAATAAACATCCAATAAATGTTTAACAACTTACATTGCATACCTGTCCGGGGAAAAAGATGGGTACCAGAATATCCCATAAAAGCTGTGGGTGGGGTTGGGGGCAGAGAAATAAAGAGATTATTTCTTCTTCTATTTATGGTAGTGTGGACATCATTTGTTTTGGTTTATTAGAGTTGTTATTTTTTGCCATAACCTTAGTCATATAGACAGGTGGATATTATGTTGCTGAATTTATTTGGTCTATTGTGGAATCAGGAATCAACAATAGGGGCAGCATTCTTTTCGCAGACATTGGCTGTAAATGATGCCACAGTAAAATTTGAGATTTGGGATACAGCTGGACAAGAGAGATACCATAGCTTGGCTCCCATGTACTACAGAGGCGCTGCTGCTGCTATCATTGTTTATGACATTACTAGCTCAGTATGATATCTTTCCCTTTGAATATTTCTGGTTACCTATTTTGATAGGTAAATTCAATATAATTTGATTAGTTGCTTATATAATAACATTACATTATTTAACATGATGAGGGGAAAAGTATGGGCCATAAATAAAATCTTGCAGCCTGTTTCTGTTTGTACTTCGTGGTAATTCTCAAAATCACGACGGGAATAGTAAATCTTATGTTGTTGGGGTTGAGCTTTATTGTTTTGACTTTTGAGTATGTGGATGAGCAAGTTCTTCTTTTACTACATTTCTTACTACGATGAAGACAAACAAAACTCTGACCACAAAGTTAGCAAGTCCAGTCTAGAGCTGGAAAAGCAAGGAATTCTAATTCTTGGCCAAAATCCAACATTATTTATTCGAAGACATTCCTCTTCGGTTGTTCATGTATAAGCACCTTGGCATGGAATACCTGGTTGTTCCTTTCTAACCAAAAACTTACCACAAGACGTTCCAGAACAATCCTAATTCTAATTGTATACACAGGACCCACTTATTCTCCCTAATCCATGCTATCACTTATTGAAACTCATGAATGTTAGGAAGAAATTTATTAAAAAAAGAATTCATTCAATGCCTTATGAAATTTTGCAAAGTATATATTTGTAGATTGAGTTTGAATGGTGGAACATTGAACCATTGTTGGTTCCAAATGTTAAAAATGAGCAAAATGACGAGGAGATCAATTCTGCTAGCAGGGTTCTTTCTTTTGGTTTGTATATTCATTTGCCTTTCTTTAGGACCGAGAGACTGTGCTTTGAGTATTTTATTTGTTTCTGTCTACTAAGGTTTGATATGATTACTTGTATTTTTCATTCACAGGATTCTTTTACTCGAGCTAAAAAGTGGGTCCAAGAGCTTCAGAAGCAAGGTATTTGCTGATTGGTTTAGAAGTTTTCATATGCTTCCTTTTTTGACAGAGAGAAATAAAATATATAGATTGTAAAAGAGTAATCAAACTATTTATTAACCGTTTACAAACTTCTAATACAAACTATATGTAAAGCAGTCTTGACCATATACTTCAATATTCCTTTTGTGAATTTTTTTTTTTCTCTTTTCTATGAACTTGATTGCTAGAATAACTTGCATTAATTGTTCAATGAAACTATAAAATCATGTTTTATGATAAAATTATAGAAGAGAACAAACATGGTTGGATGGTACATGTGATGATGTGAGAATGATTAGTGCATGAGAGAATTGTGAACAGTTAGGCAGATTCCAGGTTCCATTTGCCGAGACACTCATTGAACTTTGAGTATATCAAATCATTTATCTATGATATTTATGGTTTTTTATAAATATTTAGCTATATTTTTCCTGTACATGTTACCAGAGGACTGAGCTCTGAATGACCTACATTCTAATTAAAGAAATAATACGTAAAGCTTGTGTTGTGTAACAGTGGAGGGTTTGCTTTAAAGTATTATATCAAACATGGTCTACTTTTTATTTCCTTACCTCTATTAATACTGGGTTTGTGGTAGCTGTAGTGAAATAATTAGATTCTCAAATAATGCACTCATTTTGGTGTTGTTGCAGGGAATCCTAACATGGTCATGGCTCTTGCTGGTAACAAAGCTGACTTGGAAGATAAGAGGAAAGTGACAGCTGAAGTAAGTATTCTTTTGTTTTCATCTTTCCTATTATGGCATTCAGCTATAAGAATTATAATTTCTTTAACAATATTGTCAATTAGCTAAAACTACGGCGAAGCACTATTCTAATAAAATTTGAAATGCAAAACATGGTTACATTTGATAATTTTTATGTTGCTGCCATTATCTTTTTGTAATAGTCGGTGTTAACTTCCAGTATCTATTCAAAGAGGATTTGGTGCATTTGAGTTGTCAAATACATGAAATTCTCTGGACAACAAGTCTGATCAGGACATTTTTTTTGAGCTGAACGCTTTAACTGTTCACAGCATCTTCAAGTTACAGCTATGTATACTCACTAGTTGCATCATGAGTAACCATTTGTTAGTAAATAAAAAATATTGGTTGTTTTGTTATAGTTGCTTTTGGGCCAGGTTAACCAATTGTCTATAAACTCTTCCAATAAAACTTGCTGGATTAATTCAACTGACTCCACCATGATAAAAAATGGTGGTAGAGTGCCTTCTTTCATGCATTGCAGCTTTGATTTTATCTGCTTTCCAATAAAGTCTTTTTATGTTAATGCGATTTTTCAAAATGAAAATTAGATAAGCTTTACTTGAAGGGTTCGGTTTTTCTGCCGCAGTGGCAAAAAGCAAACATTTGCTACAGAGACAAAAATGGGAGTTTTTTTTTTTTTTTTTAAAGAAAATTACTAGGATCCGACGTCGTATCCTGGTAAATTTGTGTCTGGAGCAGACAAATATTGTCTGCCGCAGCGGCAGAAATGATTTTGCCTTTTCTTGAAAGGTTTATAGACAGTGATTCAAAATTGAGCTTGTGTACATAGAATAGTTGTACCTTGCTAATTTTCATTGTCCTAATACTTCATTTCCAGCACAAAAGATGGTCCAATGTGTAATCTACTTTTAAAAGCATGATTGATTTCTTGTTTTATGATTGATAGCTTGCATGCATTTTTGTAGTTCCGTATTTTATACACCCAATATACTAGTGACATTTTTGGTACTACCAACTTATCAACTGTGACTCATGGGCAATGCAGGATGCACGTTTATATGCTGAGGAAAATGGTCTGTTTTTCATGGAGACCTCTGCGAAAACTGCAGCCAATGTTAATGATATATTTTATGAAATAGGTTTGAGTCCATTCCTTTTACAAATACTTTGGGTTGCTTGATTGTAATAATGTCAAACAAAATACTGACTCATTGACACAAATTGGGGTTTCTCTATGATCCTCTCTCAATATCTTTAGAATATATTGTGAAGATATGCTATATTATGAGATATTCTAACACATACATTGTTTGACTTACAATTGCTTGTGTAAACAGCCAAGAGGTTACCAAGGGCGCAACCAGCACAAAACCCAGCAGGGATGGTTCTTGTTGATAGACCTGCCGTAGGATCCAGAGCTGCATCATGTTGTTCATAATTATTTATTCTGAATAACCCCCCATAGTTAAACCCGTTTTCTGTGGTTTGTTTGTACTATTCGCAGTTCGATGGCCGGTTATTTGGAGCTCCAACAAGTTTATGGGCTGCCTACATACTAGATACAAATTATCAAATATAACTTGTTGGAGCGAAATGTACACCTTGGATGTATACTTTGAGTTCGTTTATATGTGAGTTGTTGGGAAGAAATGCTTGAAAGTTAAGCTCGCTGGCGTAAGTTTCTAAACAGTATTAGCGACTCTTGGCATTCCCCTTCCCCCTTGTTCATTTTCTTTTTGTATTTTTATTGAGTTCTCTGTACCCTTTTCCTTTGTTAAAAATAAAAATAAAAAAATAAAAAATAAAAAAATCCCGTCTTGTTTCCCATAATGGCCTTTTTGAATGGTTGTATTATGTTTCCTTTGTTACTGATACTGGATATTCTAGCGTGTTAATAGACCTAATAATAGCAATAATATTTGTAATTGATCACCCTGATAAGAATTGTGAAACAATATGATTGATCATTATGCAGAGGTACCTATTTTGATATTACATAACAAGTTCATTACACCATTCTTATGTGTTCAGATTATAAAAAAAAAAAAAATCACATTTCAACTCACTCTCTTTACTTTTGTTTTCTCCCAAAATTCATATAAATAAAAACACTCTTTGATAAAATAAATACTTTGATTGTGTTTGATGCATACTGAAGACAGGACAGTTTTGTAATATTTATATATAAAATAATACAATTTATTATAATATCCTTGAAGTTGTATATTTGTTCACAATAAAATTAAAAAATGGAGGATAGGAATTATTGGTTTTTTTCTCTCTTTGGAGAAAATTGTCTAAAAGTAAATTTAAAGATTCGTTCAGCCCCTGTAGTTAATTTTTGTCCAATATTATCAAATCAACGTCAACAATATCTTTATCTCAAAAATAACAAATAATTTTATTTAATTTTTGTGCTGCATAGCAAGTCAAAGTCAAAGTCACATTTCAAAGACGAGACACGGGCACGATCTGCTTACTACAAGCAGCAATGTTTTGATTGACTTGGCTATAACTAGACTTGTTTTTCTTAAACTGCAGATTGTCGGGTACTAGGAAGGCCTTTGCCTTGATCCTCAATTCAACCTTCTGAACCTTACCCGTTGAAGTCTTGGGCAGTTCCTTCACAAACATTACCATCTTTGGAACCATGAAATGCGTCATGTTATTCCTGCAATAATCAATTATTTCTGCCTCAGTTACATCACTTGTTTTGCCTTGGGAGTTCTTCCTCAATACTATAAATGCACACGGGCTCTCACCCCATCTTGGGTGTGGCATTGCCACCACTGCACTCTCCAATACCCTCGGATGCCTATACAGAATTGATTCCACTTCTACACTAAGGGAAGAGATGAATAGTTCTTTTGAAATTCTTTGTCCATGAGCAACCGGAAGGCTTCCTTTGCCTTGGGGACATACTCATAGTCCACAAACAATACTTTTGCTTCAGAGTGTCGAAGAATGGTGGCTATGTTCTTAGCATCTAGACGGGTGTTAATGGTGTTGAGCACTGCATTAGCCATAGGCACAGCAAAATGCATCTCATACATTGCTGGAACATTAGGGGCCAGCACTGATACCTGGCAAGCAAATTAAAACTAATTAGACATTGTATCATATGCTGCATGATTTATATATATATAAGTATTTATGAACACCTTACAAGTGCTTTATTCATGTGGATATTAAGTATATTGTTAAGGCTTTATATCTAATTTTTAGTACCATAGGCTTGTTGTCTCTAGAATCACACCTTACAAGAAAATGTTACATTTCACTATTTTTAAAATTTTCAAATGACAGTGAATTTCAAATTTAGGACAGTAGTCGACACTTGTGTTATTATAAGTGTTGACTTATTTCACACAGAAGTGATCACTATTGGAATTTATCATCTGGCTTTGATGTTTATACTCAAAATGAATTATAAGTATCAGAAATTGAAATGAAGAAAATAATATGGTGCTTACAACATCATTCCTAGAAATATTTAAGGCACGGAGAGAGCAGGCAAGGCGGCGGCAACGCTGATAAGTTTGTGGCCAAGTGAAACGGGTTCCTTCGTAGATGAGAGAGGTGCGGTTGGCATAGCATGCTGCAGCTCTCTTCATGAAAGTTAAGGGGGTGAGAGGAGTATAGTTTGTTTGGCATTTTGGAAGGTTATCCATTAGAGTGCCTTTCTTTCTTGCTAAAAGAATGCAAATGTAGATATCAAAATGAGTGTGAGCACTCTATGGGATTTCGGGGGTGTATTTATATAAGAAAATATGCTTAATGCTTGCGAGGTTAATAGTTGAGTAACAAAGAAGATGATGTAAAATTCAACTATTGATTCATTGCTTCGCGACTAGTCCAATTAGGGATGAGTCTCAGAATACTTTAATTTTTTTTCAAAGACGGTACTGAAGAGGATCAAACACATATTTTCACCTCCACTGTTCAGTTTTCTGGTGTTCAGTTTCCTGACATCAGCTGAACTACTATTATTTGATTCAGTGTGTTAAGTTAATATGAAAGTTGCTCTGTCACTATTACTTAGACGCGGGTGAGTCTCAATGGAACCAAAAATTCTATTGAGATGTACTTTCACTTAAAATAATTTATTTATTTTTAGATTATTCATGAGTGAAACGGATCTTTTTTAAAAAAAAAATCAATTAATGACCCAACAGCATTGCAAAAATATATATATTTGAAGGGATATGTTATTTTACCTACCACTTTTTTTTTGCCTACATTTGCTTACCACTCTAAAATACCATTAGATTAGAATCTCAACTAATCTTTATCTTTCTATCTTCTTTTGAGATTTTGATCTATCAGTATTGAAAAATGATAAGCAAAAATAAACAGAAAAAATGATAAATAAAATAACCTATTCCATATTTGAAATAACTTTCCTATAAGCTGCATAAATGGCCCTTCAATTTTTTGGATGATCTTTGAACTTAAAACTTTGACTCTATTCAAATCGATCTATACATGGTTTGACCGAAGAATTACGTTTATTAAAAATGAGATTAAGATTTCTTAGAGATGAGATTCAGCATTTCCTTTACATATGAAAGAGATATTAAAAATAAGATGATTTCGTCCAATCAAATGAAAGAGTCGGTGGTCATAAAATTGCTCATACATTTATTTATCCCACTAAATATTAGATAGATATAAAATAATTAATTTAGCCTCACTCAAAATCTTACAACGTTAGGTGATGTCTTTTTTAATGTTTTTTATTTTATTCTCTAATACACCCCTTCATGCAAGAGCCCATTATATGACACAAACTCATTATTGGTCTGCCGGAACAAGTCTATTTTTTTTTATCTACCTTATGCTTTTCTTAGTTCCACGTGAAAGTGGATGCGGTGAGGATCAAACTCGTGACCTCGTGGTCACTGAAGCTTTAATATCATATCATGATAAGCGCCGTTTCAACCCAAAATCTTAAGGCACTTGGCTGAGGTTAAATTAATTATTTTATATTTTTCTCGCAGTAAAACTTAAAAGTGAACTCTGAAAATGGGATTACAGCATGTAGCTTTAGTACTTGATGATGCTGGTGGTGATACTTTGGCGTTTGGAAAACCCTCTTTATTTGATGCTTATCTAATACTTTAATGTTTTGTGTGTTTAATGATAAATATCAAGTTGTTTTGAACTCATTTTTTAAAAAAATAAAATAAAAAGAAAAAATATCAAAATTAATTCAAAAATAGTTTAAAAATCGGTTCAGAATCAATTCTAATTCCAAACTAGTTTTGAAATCAATTTCAAACTTATTTCCAAATTCAAATCAGTCTTGGACCATAAATCAGTTTAAAATCGAATCGGTTAAAATTTAATTTGCAAAAATAAAATCTAATTTAACCAAACACAAACCAGTTGGGTGGTTTAAACTGATTTGAAAAAATCAATTCGATTCAATTAAAAAAATGGAAGCAAACATAATTCGGATTACACAATGCCTCCCTAACCTTATCATTTTGTTTTGTATACGACACAAGCTTCTTTACCTAAATGGGATAGGTTATTCTACCTACTCCTATTTTGCCTACCATTACCTACCCATTTCAATACCGTTAGATTACAACCGCATCCGACGGTCGATATCTGCGATATAAAATAAACATTTTTTCTCCTTATTTTCTCCTCACTTTCTCTCATACCTTTTCTCTCTTTACCCCTTTTCTCTCTTTCTCTTGCCACCAATAGCTATACCTATTTGCCTCGAACAATCATGCGACTGCATAGATCTTCCTTGCCCCGTACTAATGATGTGAAAGGATAAACTGATATTCCTCCGATTTTCCTTCCAATTAATTGATTTAGTTGGACAAAAGTCAAGTCCTTTGTGCCAATCTCCAGCAATGATTGACTCAAAAATAACATTATAATCATAGAACTGAACCGATTAATGGAATTCCAATGTTAACAATTATTTTTTGAATTATCATATGAGAAAAATTGAACCGATTAATGAAATTCCAATGTCATTATTGTCAGACGATTTAACACCTATCTCCAAACTTTCGACAGCTAATGGAATTTCGGTGTCATTAATGGAATTTCTTGCTGTTAATGAAACTTCATGATTTACATAGCAATGGTCCATGTCTCAGAAACTGAACCAGTTAATGGAATTCCAGTGTCTCAGGAACTGAACTAGTAATTCGGATGGAAGATAATTTAAATTAGGTATAGGTATTGGTGGGAGAGAAAGAGAGAAACTGGAGGAGAGAGAAAGAGTGTGAGAGGAAATGAGAAAAAAGAAAGAGAAAAAAATGGTTTATTTTATATTGCAGATATCGACCGTTGGATTAGATTGTAATCGAACGGTACTGAAAAAATAGATAAAAGTAGGCAAAACAAGAATAGGTAGAATAACCTATCCCTTACCTAAATAATGCGAACTGCAAGATTAGTATCAAAGGTTATTAATTTCTATATGAAAAATGGGAAGGAGGACCCCATGCAAAAATGTACACATACCGAAAAAAGTTGGTGCTTTGATGTTGAGACCGAGTATAATTGACCTTCGGAATCGCTGGCCACTAAATTTTGCCTGCAATTAAGAACCATATGAACAGGGAGCAATGTTAAAAGACTCAGAGTAATAGTGACAGGTTGATTGAGTGTCTCTCGAGATTAACTTAACTTATCTTCAATAAACTCAAAACAACTTATCTTCAATGAACTCAAAACGACGTCGTTTTGAGGTCATAAGATTAAAACATTATAATAATAAAGACTAATATAACCCTACAATATATTAGAATTACAAAAATACTTTGATTTCTGTCCCAAAATGACGTCGTTTTGGACTTACCGGAGAT